TCTGCAAGAATTACACATTTTTATAGTTACATTTAGCATCTAAATTGGACTGCTCTACTATAGAATAAACATCTTCCCAGGAAGAATGGAAGAGATATACTTCTTTGAACAGCAAGAAACATTTTATGCTGTATAGTTGCCATCCTCCAAATCCACTGGAAAATGGAAACTTATTAAATGAGCACCCGAGGTATACTATTAAGTATTAACTATACTTATCAATAGCAAGTCATAATTAATACCTATAGTAAAACTTGGGTAGTCATTCTAGCTTCCATTAATAACCTGAACATAATAGTAACCATTACGCACAAGGAATGCCTCCCCTTTCTGGTGTTCTCCTTCGGTCACTCTATACCTTTTTTTGCTCATGAAATGACTCTTATGATATTATGAGAGGTCCAAAGTTAGTCATAAATGAATACAGGTAAACCACAATTGGTATGATTTACAACAATTCACACCGTATCACCCTTACGAACAACAGTTCCTTCCTAAAATCTAGTGAACTGCAGCTATTAAGCTTAAGGGGGCGTTTGTCAATGAAACTTTACTTTTATCCGAATAGAGTTAACTCTGGAAAACATGTTTTGACCATAAAATTCCGGAAGAACACCAAAAAGTTGTTTTTACTTATTTTTTTCACTTCAAATTACTCCCAAAAATTCAAAAACAACTCTAATATGCATTCATGGCCACACAGAACTCAAATTTTCACTCTGAAAACAAAAACTACTCACAATTTTCATGGTCAAACACCCCAAGCTAGCACAAGCCAAAAATGTTCTTCTTTTATTGCTAGTTTCCGTTTCATAACAATCTATAAGCATTTATGAGGTTAGTAATTATTCAAAGTTGTACTAACGTTGAATTTTGTTCCTTAAAAGATCAAATCTTCAATCTGCACAGAACTTGTTATGGCATGAAACAAGTAAAATCTGTTATACAAAGAATACCCAAAAGATGGGTATCCCTGAAAACGTAAAAAAAGACAACAAAATAAGCAAAAAAGAGAGTAACCCACCACATCAGAACAACAGGGGACATCCAAAGCAGTGATGGTCTGTTGTACTGGTACCATAACTTCAGCTCCAGCTACCATGATTAAAGTCCACAACTTTTATATCATAAAACAAACAGTAAACTGAATTCCTCTTCTTCTTGAAATCAAAAAAACAAACAGAAAAATTTGCAAAAAAAAAAAACAGGTTAGAAATGAAAGTATGAAGAGGGGGGTTTTGCTATGAAACTTTTTGGAGTGTGGAAACTGCAAAGACTAAATTTTGGTGGAATTTGGCTTCAATTTTAGAATATATAAGAAGCGGTTACTATGACCGCCGGTTAAATAAAAGTCGTAGAGTAGGTGAACACTTATACGGTGGCGCTTACAATTTTGTTCAAGTATTAATCTATCGCTGGTTGTTTAGATTAGTTTATTTTAGTTTTTATTTGTGATATAATTAGCTATTTCTAATTTTATTTTATTTTTCTCATTTGTCTTAAAAAAAATGATTAGTGATGGGCAGAAATTAGAAAGTGAGATAAAATAATTATTCTATGTTGTGTTTCGCGAGCTAAAATCATTCCTTATTGTACTTTTCTTTGTCTCAATTTACATGACATATTTCGAATTTTTAGATTTAAACAAGTCTATCTTTGACTGTAAATTTTTTGTATGTTTTTTAAATATTTTAATTTATCAATTATTGTGATTTACTGTATTTTTTTCGTAGTTTACAAATATGTAAATTTCATTTTTTTTAAATTGAAGATTCTATGAGCAAATTCTCGATTAAATTTAAATTATTTAACTATCGAAAAACAAAATGTGTCATATAAATTGGGATATAGGGAGTATTTTCTTCTTTTTTTAGTGTTATCTGTTATTTTTTGAGAAATTTGTAATAACTCAGTTGATTGCCTATGTAAACTCCCTTCAAATTATGCAAACAATGTTCTTTACATATATCACTTGTAAAATTATACTTATTTTGTTATTATCATGAGTTGAATCACCTTGGGTGAAGGATGATCTGATGCATAAAGATTAAATATATTTTTTTATGACTTTATTTTATTTTGCATAGCTTTAATATAATTTGAAAAAATTATATATTTTTTATTAAATTCTTAACTCCGCCACCGATAATAATTGTTGTGGTTGTGGTTTGGTTGAGCAAAAAGTAATGGGCCATGGAGGGAATATAATCAATCAATGAAGAAACTTCGATGGTTGGATACGTGACTATTTCTTCTACAACTTGTGTGGGAATGGTTGAATTTATTAATATTATTATTATTTTAAATAAATAAATTAGAGTTTGAACTGATTTTTTTTAATTCTAACTCACTATGCTGAAATTTTTAGTTAATATTTTATCCAATTTTGATTTTACATTAAAATTTGGTGCTCTAGAAAATGACAAGTATGCAATTTCTTTTCATAAATGTTGACCAATTTTATTGGAGTATATTAGTGATGAAAATGACACAAGCATGACTTTTCAACAATTGAATTAATTTTTACTATAAATTTTTTAGTCTTCTAGACTCTGGTATGGACTATAAATATATTATATTATATTTATGAAGTAGCTATCAAATATACGTATTATTTATATTTAATTTATTATTACGCTTTTAAAGATTTAAATTTGACTATTAATATTTTAATAAACTAAAATAATAATAACAACTTTCGTTTTAAAGATCATGTCCCGAGTCTATATCATGGGTGTGGCTAGCTTTATATTGAGACTATAAACACTATACATAAAACACAACTCAAATAGTTTTATAAATAATAAGTCTGAAAATAGAGATGTTTGAGAAGCAATTGAAATATAATCTAATCTGATTTACCTAACTTGTCTATGAAGTCTCTACTAAACTGAGGCTAGGTCTCACCAAAAGGTGATGGAAAGAAATTCTACTAGAGTGCTTGTTGATGGTCACAAACACCTGAACCTGCATCATTTAAAGATGCAACATCAAATGACGTCTTTATATGAAATATACGGTATGCAGAATAGTTGAATGAAACAACAGGCTAAACTGAATATACTGAACTGAAAAAGTAAATATATAAGTAGACGGTAAGATAACCAACTGAAAAGTAAAGCATGCACATGTACTTTAACAATCAAGCTTAACAACTGAAAATGCATGCAATAGTAGCAAATGTTGAAATTAATGTATTTTACTTTTGTTGGGGAGTTTCTCTAACCGACAACCATCACATGAGCCTCGTGATGATACAATGTCTTACCCATGTTTCCAGTATCATCCTGTACTACAAACTGAACTATAGATCCAATATCTTAGCCCTTATCAAGGATTTTTTGAGGAGTCGTCCGAACCAACGACACGGTCCTATCATGCACTAGCGGCATAGTTATAGAATTCTAAATTCTTACCCAACTCGATGCTCAATAGTATTTTCAAAATACTGCAATAATGCTCAATAATTGTATGATGTCTCATTTAAGGAAAAGGTCCCACTTTACTAAAACTCTCTATGTTGAGTTAGTACTCAAAAATGTTTCTTTGTATTTGCTTTTAAAGACTATGCTTTATGTGAACTCACTTCACCTTCTCGAAATTAAGATATGCTCTCTTTAAAGCTAACTATGCTTTTCTTTTCGAAAATAATGCAGTTGAAACAAATTCATCTCTTGAAGCTTTTTCAGAAATACTATTTTAAGAATTGAAATTTAATTTACTCCTAAAAACAATGCATAAGAAATCAATATGATAAGGTCTTCAATAACTCTTAACAACTAAAGGGTTCCTGTGGCATTAAGCATGAATCAATAGTCAAAGATCATTAATAAAGTGAAGTAATGAAATCTCTATAACAAAATCAAGAATTCAACAATACGAATATAAACTAAATTCGAAGATTATGGATCATAGGGTAAAAACTTTAGCTTTGATCTTACGATTTGAAACAGTAGATGTAGGGCACAAGGAATAATGTAACTCCTCATTATGATGGTCTTACATATCTTAAACGTTCAACAAATCTTGGCGAAGAACCCTAACTTGAAGAATAATAATCAAGTAACCTTTTCTTGAGATTCTTGAGCTCTCTTCTTGAAAATCCTATTACCAAAGATTGAAATTTTTATCAATGATTCATGAATAGACGAAGGAATTTGTGTTGGAAAGCTTGAATTCCATGAAAAAAGATTTACATCAAGATGAGGATGAGAGGAGGAGAGAAAACCACTTTTAAGACTTGAAAGAATGGTCAAAAATGAGAAAAATCGGGCCCAAGTCGACTTAAATGATTTTTCGTCGTCCAATCAGCGTTTCAACCGGTGAAACGCCTACCCAACATTGTTTAACGCCAAAGAAACATATGTTCAAAAATAGAAAATCTCTTAAATTTTACTCAACTAGCGCTAGATCGGCGTTTCGTTGGTTCAGAATTGTTCATGATCTCCAAAATAAAATGATCATAACTTTTGACTTGGACCTCGATTTGACGCAATCGTGGTGGCGTTGGAAAGAAGACTGATAGACAATTAATTTGATAGGTAATAGGACATCTAACTCTTCATATGTAGAAAGAATAGTCATTTGAAATTGACTCTTGCATGAACTAATGCGCAAACTTAGTCCGTAGAAAAGCTATTAAAACTTAGTCTAAACCACTGCCGATTCACTTCTCACACTTAGGAATGGACTTTAAAACGCATGTACTTGTTGGATGTCACTCGATCCAAGCTTACATACTTATGACAAATGATTCAGATCCTTAAAATAGAATTTGCGAGGTGTTACAACCTCAAACCGTTAAGAATCCATAATATATTTTAATAAATTAAAATTATTATCAAAATCGCTAAATCAATAACCCATTATTGATAAATTTCTCAATTTGAATTATTGATTTTGATTCAATTTTAAACCGCCTTACTTATTTTTCTTTTTTCGAGCTATTACTTTAATCATTTTCTTTTTGTACTTGAATATTTTTTCCATCGATAATAACGAAGAGAAAAGGTAAAGAATCCAAATTATTCAGTAATGGCGTCACTTCACTTCACTATTTTTAAGGGCATAGAATTCATCGATTGCCAGCTTTCTCTTCTGCAACTCAACGCCAATGGCTTCTCCCTCGCTTTCAAAATCCAATTTCTCCCTTCACTCCTTTTCTTCTTCTCCACCCTTGTCACAATTCCCTCATTTCACTTCCATCACCGTTGTTCAACCCAAGTTCTTCCCTTCGCAGCTCACCGTCAAACGCTGTCAAAATGCTCCTTCTTTCCCGATTATCAGAGCTCAAACCTCTCCAGGTTTCAATTTTGCTTAAACCCCACTTCATAATTTCATTTATTTAGTAATGGGTCAGTGTTTTTCCTTCTTTTGTTGCTTATGGTAGTAATGGGTCGGTTTTGATTTTTCAGATTTCGTCCCCGATGCGAAATTTTACAAAGTCGAAGCAATTCTTAGGTGATAGCATCAATTTTATTTACTATGTATTCTAATCTGCTTTCTTTACTCTGTTTACTGATTCAATTTTGCGTTTCTTCTGCAAATTTTGGAATGGACTTAGACCTTGGAGAATTCAACAGGTTTCTTCGGTAAGAACTCGAATTTTTTCTTTCAATTTTCATATGCATGCGCCACTTTTTAGAAAGAAAAAAAAATCTTTTCCCTTTGTGATTCTTAAGGTTGCATGCCTACATGAATGCTTAAATTGAGGCTCTTTATTGGACTTTTTTTTGGGTTTTTTTACTCAACCACAATTTTGCATTCTATGACATCATAGAAAAGCCTATATATTGTGGAAAATACTTTTACAGCACAGCTTCAATCTCAGTTGTGATAAAGTTACAAAGAGCCAAAGGGTTAATCGAAATGCTGCTAGCTTGCTCTACTAATATCAGTACTGTTAAGTTTGAATTTCATCCTGGTTCTTTCTTGTTATACAGTCTTATTTCTTCATAGAGCTTATTATGTATATACCTTTTTCTTTGCTATATTGTCATATAATGATCCTATGGATAATCCTTTTGATAGAACAGTATTGAGTAGCTTTTAAGCTGTCAGAGACAAATTCTTTGTTTTTTGATACTAAGAAGTCTTGTTATGGATAAGTTGAAAAAATTTCAAGGGGACACGGGCTTTAGATCAGGATGTCCTAATATTATCTAGCACCGAAGGAACAATAAGGGGTTCGACGTATTAAATTTAGAGGTTGGAGTGAAATGAGGTAAAACTCCCCAGCCCCCATCCACACACACACATACAAAAGGAAAAAAAAGTTCCTCCTGAAACGCTAGAATATTTAACAATATGGTGAAGTGAAGCGCAGATTCTGTGATGACTATTGAACTCCATTTCACAACTAGATTGAAGGCAGCCATTTTCCTGTAGATATTTCAAAACATCTAATCCCCGAAGCTAAAAGCCTCCATTATTTACTCATGTTTTCTGAATTATGAAGGCACTACTGAAAATGGGCATTCGTGGTGTCACTGTTTCGGATGTTCGTGGTTTTGGCGCCCAAGGGGGCTTGACTGAGAGGCAAGCTGGTATGGAAACATTCATCAATTTTAAGTGTTAATTAAGGTTGTCTTGAATATTTCTCTAATAAAAAGAGACTCTTCCTTGGGTTTTGAAGTTATCTGCTGTTTGCAGGCTCTGAATTCTCTGAAGACACGTTTGTTGCAAAAGTAAAAATGGAGATTGTTGTCAGCAAAGACCAGGTTTTGAATTTAAAAGGCCTTGATCAAGCTTTCCGCGCAATAATTTAAAATCATATGTGTAGAAGTATATGGTTGAAGTATATGATTATAGAATTATATGGTTAAAGTATATGATTATAGAAGTATATGGTTAAAGTGCCATTTATCTATCCTATGTATATAGAAGTTTTATCTAAGTGGTGCTCCTTGCGATATAATTGTGATTTTTAGATGTCAGTTCTAATCTAACCTGTAATGCTGTCTTATTAGGTTGAGGGAGTCATTGCCAAGATAATTGAAGAGGCAAGAACTGGTGAAATAGGTGATGGAAAGATATTCTGTAAGTTTTTCTCTTCATGATCTTGAAGTTTTTGATGTAAATTCTCTAACCAAAGCTTGAAACCATTTAGTTAATGTTTCCTCAATGAGTATGCTGTATATTTTCATATCATAATTCATGACATATCTTCTGTACAGGGTAAGGTGTAACACATAAATCATAATCTTTAATTTGCTGTTTTGTTTCCAAGCAAATGTTTGCCTCAGTAATCTAAGTGTGTTGCACATGAAGTGGGAAAACCAATGCCAGCAAGCCTTTTAATACATGCTTGCAATGACGATCCATATATTTGTATAAACAAAGTCTTTTGGTTCCACTGAGACGGTGTACTGTAAGATGATGTAGGTCTTAGTCTACCAGATGAAACAAATAGAGATACTATCCCAAAACTTGAAATAAGATAAAAAGCTGGAGGAATCTCAAAGTTTTTGATCTTTACCTTCTATTTTATCAGACAAGGAAATCCATCAGTGACATTGTTCACAATAGTTTAATTGGAGCCTAAATTTGTTGAGCTCTCCTTTGTTTGATGCTTATTTTCTTAAATATTTAAACGTCTTGTGAGAAAACATGATTTCAGTTTCTAGCTTATAAAGATACATACATTTATGATTTATCGATACACACACACACACTCTTCTATGTTTTCCTCTCAAGGCTTTTTATTTGGTGAGTATGTTTCTCATGTTAGAAGCCTATCTTTGATCTTAATTTCATTTTTATCTGCCAAAATGTCAAGCCAAGCCTGGAGTGGATCATCACACAGGTTGTCTGACTCTGATGCTAGAAGAGCTTATTGTGTGCTCAAGTTAATGGCCATATTGTATTAGCAAGTGGTCAGTTAATGGGCGGATTTTTTTTCTTTAGTATAAAAACTAAAAAAGATACAGGTATCTATTTAGAAGAAATTTATTGAAGAGCATAAAACACAGTTTCCAGTGGTAACTAGTTCACATGTATGTGTTTGGGAGGGATCCTTTGCTTTTGGCCAAGTCTCTATTAGCAAGGAATCTCTTGGGTAACATATGTGCAATCATATTACATAATTTTGATCTTGCTAACGTTTAAACATGACATGTTTTTCCTTGCAAAGAAAATCTTAAATGAGTGAAAGAGACCCTTAAGTTCAAAGTGGCTGTTAAAGTTGGGCCATCTATTGGGATATCATTACTTTTTCATATTCCAATTGAATATTCTTGGAACCTTGGTGTGCTAGACATTATTGCCTTGCGGGAAATATTACAAAATGCTGAATTATTAATGCTGTTTTTTTTTTTTTACTTTGGCAGTGACTCCCATCTCTGATGTAATAAGAGTTCGCACTGGTAAGTAGAATGTTTTGCTTAATGATAGTCCTTTTGGAATTTTAAATAAGATCGTCTTTGTAGGTTGATTTATCATCTGAATTTCATATCCTTTATAGAGATTAAAACTTGTCCCTTGTAATGATTCTATGGTACACTGTAACAGGAGAACGGGGAGAAAAGGCAGAGAGGATGATGGGAGGGCATGCTGATATGTCCTCTGCATTATCAACTTCTTGAGCGGCAATGCCTCTATCTTGAAGTTGAAAGGTTTAATCATCTTTAGTTGTGTGCAGTCAAGTAGGGAATAAAATAAACAAGTTGTAGACTTACCCTGTACCTGTGGTTTCAGTAGCCAATTTCCAGAAAAGTCGTAGCTTAGCAGCCATTTCGTATTTGAACTCTTCAGCACAATTGCGGTAACTTTGCTTCCCCTGTTTTGGCTGAAGTTGTGCTGTAATATGTTGGTTGATCACTGTGGATATTGAATGATAAGCTATTCAAGCAATTTCCTAAACGAGCCGTTAATATATATAGTGATACATATATCAAATCCGAAACTTTAGCCTTGTTAGATCCCCATGTGTATGTACTCTTCTGTGCAGTATACATTGAACCATTAATTCAGGCTAATGCAAACTTAAGCAGCATAGGTTTCTGGTAGTCCAAGGACTCATCCTCATGAATCTCATCTCCCACCATTATTTCCCCTATTACCAAAAAATAGTCTCATTATTGGAAACAATATAAGGTTAACGTACACTTCACGTCCTCATGTTCACTTGTGGAATCACACCGAGTATATGTTCGTGTTGTTGTTACTTGATTCCTTTATTATTATGCCAAGCTTGTGCAAATCCACGTATCAATAGTGAAAAAATGAACACTTCTAGTGCTGCAAAAGAATCATATACAGGAGAATGAATGTGGCTGAACTTGTAAGTACTAAGCTTATATGACACTATTAAAAGAATATCTTTTTTGTATTTTCGAAAACAATTTTAGTTTAAATTTTCTATTTTATCCTAAACAAAATACTTTATATAAGCACAAATCTTTCATGATATATTTTGAGATCACAAATTTTAAAATCCAAATAAATAGTGACAAATAGAAATGGTAGAAAATAGTTGTATTTGTTTCATCTCTGGCCATTTGATTCTCCGCCAAACCCACCATTTATTGGAATTTTGAAAGTTTAATTTTTTGATTTATCAATAATAGGTTATTGATTTAGTGATTTTACTAATATTTTTATATTTATAACACGATAGTATATTTATATCACTTGGTATATAAAGTACTTGACTTAGAGCTTAGTTTCATATACTTATATTTCTAGTTGTTTCAAACTATCGATTATTCTACATTGTATCAGTGTTTGCTTTTGTTGTTTTGCACAAGACGCAATCTATCAACTCATGTGCATGGTTCATTTGGCTTATCACCCTGTTTCTAAGTAATTTCTAATGATATTTTTTTTGTGTCAAATCTTAACGGTTAAATCAATAACCGAACCAATAAAATTTAATAAATCTGACGATAAGTCAATCTCTTAATGATTCTGTAACGATTTAGCGTATTACAAACTGATAATCAATAAGTTAAACCGATAAACTTCAAAATCGAACTGTACGCAATCCTAATTATAATGGTGACAAATAGAAATGGTAGAAAATAGTTGTAATTGTTTCACCTCTGGTCATTTGATTCTCCCCCAAACCCACCATTTGTTGGAATTTTGTAAGCATGGTGTTACGTCAATAATCCTGCTGGCCTTCTCAGCAGCAAGTGATCTTGTCAATGAAGGAACCTCTTTTTTTTTGGTGGGTTAAGAATATTTGAATTCAAACATATACACCATAGATTTGCTAGTCGGATTTTGAATTTTATGATTTATCGATAATGAATTATTGATTTCGTGGTTTTAGTAATAGTTCTAATTTTTTTAATTATCGAGTTATAGGTTTTTAGTGGTTTGAAGTTTTTTTTTAATAGATTAATCGATACATATTTATATTATTCAGTATATAAAGTACTTGACATCCTTTAATTTCTAGTTGTCTCAAACTCTCAGTTATTCTAGAATGTGTTAGTGTTTGCTTTTGTAGTTTTGCTCAAGATGCAATCTATCAACTCATGTGCATGGTTTATTTGGCTTGTCATCTTGTTTCTAAGTGACTTTTAATGCTAATTTTTCAAATATTAACGGTTGAACCAATAATCGAACTGATAGTGATCGAAATCAATATTTTAATGGTTCTATAACGGTTTTAACATGTTTACAAATCAATAACTCATAAGTTAAATTGATAAACTTCAAAATCAAACCGAACTGATTGATATACAATTCTATTTGTAATGGTTAAAACGTTGTTTAGATTCAGAATTTAAAGTTAATAGTTTAAAAAGTGTGGGATTAGATTTAAACCTTCCTTGCTTAGGGTGATTTTGGAGTGGTAAGGGAATAAAGGCATTAATTGGCATCCTTCTAGTGGTAAATGCGGTTTGACTTTAGCTTAGCACTACCAAATTAAACAAATTCCCAATTCCTTTAACATAAGACTACAAAATATCGAATAAAATACTGACGGTCTTTTTCTATTATTTCTTTGTCAGGATACCTACAAACTTTAAACATGAAGTCAAATATATATATATACTCTTTCTCACAATTAGTCGTGTAATTCTCATAATAATAAAATAAATAAATATATTTGTTGAAATATTTTTGCAAAAATGAAATTTGGATTCAAATTAATTAGGGATAATTTCACACTTGAATTCAAATTAGAGCATACTTACTATTTTAATATTATGAGTCTTATTTATTGCCCTAAGACCTAAACAAAAGTCCTCTATCAATATACACATTGGTCATGCATATGTTTTCTCAAGTTACAAGTTCCATAATATGTAGAAAACTTGTATGACATGCATACAATCACAAAATATACAAATAAGTTAAAAGAGAGACGGTTTGAAAACATTCTTGAACTTGACAAAGATTATTCGTTTTTTATTCTTCCAAAACATTTCGTTATATTCACGTCCACTAGCAAGTACGTAGTAGTACTAACGAACGTACACAATCCTCTCTTTTTATGCAACCTTATCTCAAACTTTTAAAATCACTACCTCTCAAACCAATTAAAAAGGACTTTCATGGCCAAGGACACTTTCTATGTACTTATATATAGTCCCTTAGCTAATTGAAACAACGATCCATAACAATATTCGAGTCTTGAGAATGGAACAAGTATCAATGGAGATGAAGAAAGGACCTTGGAGTCCTGATGAAGACTCTAAACTCATCCATTCCATCTCCCTATTTGGACAAGGACGCTGGAATTCACTCGCTCACGTTGCTGGTATTATGTCATGCTGAGAGATCACACATTTATTTACTTAATCATATTATATATTTCATCAATACGTCTTTCATGTGTTGATATGCCTCTTCATTTTCTTTTTAATTTGATCATCATGTGCCTGCTGATGCCATATCATAGTGTAGGTGATTGATCATCTCATCTAATTTAATTTAAACATATATTATCATTTCCTACATATTACATGCAAATGAAGTATGTATACAAAATATATGTATCATTTTGTTTCTTTCATCAAAAAATAATTACGTATATATATCAATATAGGGTTGAAGCGTAGCGGTAAGAGTTGTAGACTAAGATGGCTGAATTATTTGCAGCCAAATTTACGACGAGGAAAAATAACTCCTCAAGAGCAGTTCCTTATTCTACTCCTTCATTTTCGCTTTGGAAATAGGTAAGTAAACTATATATATAATATGTCATATAAACTGAGACAAATGAAATAATTATATTTTATAAAAGTTTGAACTCATATATAAATAACAATTATTTTGTTTTTATTTTTAACAAAAAAAAGAAAGAAATAAATAGTCAAAGATATGGTCAATGGTTTTTCAACCATGGTAGGTATATGATGAGCATCACAATTATGCGTATGGTTACATATATTTTTGTAAAAGTTGAACTCATAAAATAATAATTATTTTGTTTTTTTAACAAAATAAACAGATGGTCAAAGATAGCAGAAAATTTGCCTGGGAGAAGCGATAATGATGTTAAGAATTACTGGAGAACTAAAGTGCAAAAGCATGCAAAAGAGCTTCATTGCGAAATCAATAGCCAACAATTTCGACACTTCCTTCTCTATCAATGGATGCCTTCTCTGCTGGCTCAACAAATACCGACTTCTTCTTCTGAATTAATCGTGACGGAGAATTATTCTCCTAACAATATCAATACTTGTCCAAACGTTAATGTCATCTCATCATCAACGGATTCATTCGTGACAGAAGATGATAGTAATATTTGGAACAACTTATCTAGTTTTGAAGATGGAATTAATATTTCACATGATTTTTCAACCCCTTCAGATATGACACTTTATAATTATTCATCTCATGATGAGGATGATCAGTACTACTGTCACAATTATTGGGCAAGTGCAGAAATGCTAAGTTTGGATGAAATGGACCTTTGGCTCTAATTACGAGTACATGTAAACTCAATAATCCTATATATATATAAGAACTTACAAAAAAAAAAAAAATTATTCAATTGGTGAACCCAATTAGATAATTATTATTATAATATTTACTTGAAATTATTATAAAAACTCATCGTGTAAACTTTAACTATGAATTCTCTTTCACCTTTATTATAGCGTATATACATATGCATGCGCACCCATCGCGTCAATTTTTTTCCATGCATGTACGTAGTATATAATTAACAAACGTTGTATAACTTTTTTCGTATGATCATAAAACTTTCTATTTCAAGACTAACAAAAAAAAAGGAATCTTCTATAAAAGAAGGAGTTTGTTTATGGAAATGTGGTAAAAGAATAAATGAGGCACAATTTAGGGTAAATTTAGGGGGGGAAATTAAAGAGTTAAATGTTTGATTTACTATCCTTGAAAGTCATGATGCAAGATGTATTTTAGATTGTGAATTCAAGAACGAATTAACTTATTTTTTAATCAGGTAATTAGTGAGTGGGTAATAATGGTAAATAATACTCCCTCTGTCCCTAATTACTTGTCCACTTTTTTTTTATAGTTGTCCCTAATTACTTGTCCATTTTAATAAATCAAGAAATGACAAATTTTTTTACCTATTATATTCTCAATTAAACGATTAATTACTTTGAAAAATGTAGAACTTTTCATCCACTTCATAATTAATAAGGATAAAACGGTAAACTCACCATGTCATTAATTGATTTCTTAATAGGTGTGTCAATTAAAAAATGGACAACTAATTAGGGACCGAGGGAGTACCAAAAGAGTGAGTTAATTAGAAGGTCATAAAAACTTCTGCATACTTTAAATGTGTGATTGACATGTTTATCGTAATTTAATTATACTACTCCTTCTATTCTAAAATATCTATCTCACTTTAGCTGTAATTTAACTTTTTTAATCAGGTAGTTAGTAAGGAAGGTAAACTTCTGTCGTTCCTTTTTAATTGTTATCAT